TAATAAAACAAGCGAAAAACAATAGGCTAATTAAAGCTAATAACTAACAAAACTACAGTCATCTGTGGAAAACCAGCTGACAACGCAAAACAAGGCGCAAGAAATGTCAAATAAATCACAGCACAAGCACCACTTCGTGATTTTATTTACTTTTCCACCTTTTTTTAAAACGTTATAAGTTAGGTAAAGTCCGCTATGAACCGCTATGAAACGTTTCAGGCTCTGAAAGTTTGTTGTTTGTTAAGAGACAGGGAGTAAAAATCGGGTCAAGTTGAACCCTTTCTCCTTACCTGCAGGACACGGTGATTTCAACTTTGGTGGCAGGAATGGTCGCGTTCAGCGGGTCGAAGGCTCCTATCGACGCCATGTTCAGGAAACTGTTGTTCATGGTGACAGATTTTCTTTGCTTTATCAAAAAGCCTTTCCTCTCCCCGGTCTCGTGAGGTCCAGCCTTCTTTTTTTATTGTTGTTTTTCCTGTTTCACTAGAGAGGAAAAAGAGAAACTGTGCGCGCGCGCCTCCACGGCGGGAAGGGGGAGTGGAATGAGGGGAGGGGCCGAGAGGAGCCGTGACGTCACTTTACTCCGCATCTCTCCTGCTTCTCTGCTGATTCTCACTGATTTTTGGCTCCTTTTTGGCTCATTTATCCGTGTGGAAGTGGCAACAATGAGCCCAGTCACCACAAAAGTCCAAAAGAATTATAAACTATTGCCTGTCACGTCTCTCCTGCCCTCTATTCTCCCATTTAAATCAGTTCAGTACGGTGTGGGGGCTGTTGGCACCCCTCATGTTCCAGGGCCAGATCAAACTTTTATTGGGCCTAGGGGACAAATGGACCCCCCTTATTTTAAATTGTTCTTTAGAGGGCAAAACTCCACCACCTTTTACATGATGGGTATCTGTATCATGGCCCCCATCCGTATTACTCACTCGCCGGGGGTGGGGGGATGCTTGTATGCAAACTATCGGCCAGGACGTGAGGCGGAGATAGCAGGAGCAGGAAGACTGGGATATGTGGAAAACTAATTTCTAGTGGCAGAGCAGGTTGGAAGATGATTAATCGTATTTATTGAGTGTTTTTTTTACATCCAACAGGCTCTGCAATGTAAAACTTTCAAAACTTGGTTTAATCTAAGAGCCAGTCTCTATTATTAATATTTACTGAAAATTTTTAACAAAGTCATATTACCTTTTGAGTATTATCCGTTAATATTTCTGTAAATTTTTGTAGCAAAAAAAATTGACTTTAAAATAAGAGAATACAGATTTTTTTTTTTAAATTTGACTACTGTCATGAGATGTTAAATATAGTGACAAATGATAAAACTATTTTATATTTGAAATATTACGTTTGGGGCTGGATAAAATCCCAACGAGGGTTAGATTTGGCCCACGGGAATTGAGTTTGCCTGCTTTAGATTTATTTCAACCTAAAATAAAATTAGCAAATTTAAACAATACAGGTGCTGGTCATAAAATTAGAATATCATGAAAAAGTAGATTTATTTCAGTAATTCCATTTAAAAAGTGAAACTTGTATATTATATTCATACATTACATACAAACTCATATATTTCAAATGTTTATTTCATTTAATTTTGATGATTACAAATGACAACAAATGAAAATCTCAAATTCAGCATATCAGAAAATTAGAATATTACTGAAGACCAATAAAAACAAAGGATTTATAGAAATGTTGGCCAACTGAAAAGTATGAACATGAAAAGTATGAGCATGTACAGCACTCAGTATTTAGTTGGGGCTCCTTTGGCCTGTATTACTGCAGCAATGCGGCGTGGCATGGAGTCGATCAGTCTGTGGCACTGCTCAGGTGTTATGATAGCCCAGGTTGCTCTAATAGTGGCTTTTAGCTCTTCTGAATTGTTGGGTCTGGTGTATTGCATCTTCTTCTTCACAATACCCCATAGATTTTCTATGGGGTTAAGGTCAGGAGAGTTTGCTGGCCAATTAAGAACAGGGATACCATGGTCCTTCAACCAGGTACTGGTAGCTTTGGCACTGTGTGCAGGTGCCAAGTCCTGTTGGAAAATGAAATCTGCATCTCCAAAAAGTTGGTCAGCAGCAGGAAGCATGAAGTGCTCTAAAACTTCCTGGTATGTGGCTGCGTTGACCCTGGACCTCAGAAAACACAATGGACCAACACCAGCTGATGACATGGCACCCCAAACCATCACTGACTGTGGAAACTTTACACTGGACTTCAAGCAACGTGGATGAAGTGCCTCTCTTCTTTTCCTCCAGACTCTGGGACCTTGATTTCCAAAGGAAATGCAAAATTTACTTTCATCAGAGAACATGACTTTGGACCACTCACCAGCAGTCCAGTCCTGTTTCTCTGTAGCCCAGGCAAGACGCTTCTGACGCTGTCTGTGGTTCAAGAGTGGCTTGACACAAGGAATGCGACAGCAGAAACCCATGTCTTTCATACGTCTGTGTGTGGTGGTTCTTGAAGCACTCACTCCAGCTGCAGTCCACTCTTTGTGAATCTCCCCCACATTTTTGAATGGGTTTTGTTTCACAATCCTCTCCAGGGTGCGGTTATCTCTCTTGCTTGTACATTTTTTTCGACCACATCTTTTCCTTCCCTTCGCCTCTCTATTAATGTGCTTGGACACAGAGCTCTGTGAACAGCCAGCCTCTTTAGCGATGACCTTTTGTGTCTTGCCCTCCTTGTGCAAGGTGTCGATGGTCGTCCTTTGGACAACTGTCAAGTCAGCAGTCTTCCCCATGATTGTGTAGCCTATAGAACTAGACTGAAAGACCATTTAAAGGCCTTTGCAGGTGGTTTGAGTTAATTAGCTGATTAGAGTGTGGTACCAGGTGCCATCCATTTTGAACCTTTTCACAAGATTCTAATTTTCTGATATGCTGAATTTGAGATTTTCATTTGTTGTCATTTGTAATCATCAAAATTAAACGAAATAAACATTTGAAATATATGAGTTTGTATGTAATGTATGAATATAATATACAAGTTTCACTTTTTAAATGGAATTACTGAAATAAATCTACTTTTTCATGATATTCTAATTTTATGACCAGCACCTGTATATCTAAATTTACCTACTTGGTTTTTGGCAGATTAAGTTCATGAGTTAGCAAACTCATTTAAAAAACAAAACAAAATCCCCTGAAACTCAGCAAATCCAAAAGAGTTGGGTTAAATTCTGTTTTCAGTTGGCTTTCCTCCCACTGATGCCTAAAAAATGAGCTCATGTGACACTGATTGTGGGAAGTGGGCGGGACTAAAAGCCCTACATCCCTAATGCACAGACTCTGGTTACAAAAATGCAACCTGAAAACTCCTATAAACCACATCTGACTTCAATTTACAACAATTGAAGGAGGCAGTGACAAATCATGGTGCTTGTTTTTGGTTTTGTTTCTGTTTGAGAACAGCTAAAACCTGTTTTAAAGTAGACTCCATCATGATAACTTTTACGCCTGGGGATTTGTTTTTAAAGTTCGAGAGTCATCGTTGACAAATTCCTGCTGGGGCAGATTTAGATTTAAAAAAATTTGCTTAATGGCTCAAAAACCTATATTTTTTAAAGAATTATGCAAAAATGTAATCTGTAGCACACAGGTTTTTGTTCAAGTTAAGATACAATTAAGAGAACAACATTTATTTTGTTTTTCATGAGGTAATTTCTCGGGTTKTATCAAGTCTCTGTTTCTCGGCGATCATCAAGGAGGCGATTAGTGTTACGATCTCCAACATCTGCAGTCTCAGTCTCCTCTTTCTTTCTCCTAAGTCATCCATGATAAGGTGCATTAGGTGTAATCGACTGAAAGGTGGAGCTGCTGCTTTCAGAGAGGAGAGTGGGATTGTGATGAACAGAAAGGAAGTGGAAGCGCTTTTTGCTGTTAATGTCAATGAGTGATGTTGGGCAATGTACAGTATATCAGGAAATACTGTAAATTAATCATAGGTGTGTGTTTGATTTTAGGTACTGTTAGCTAAATATCGTACRAATCACTGGGTGTATTTTGGAGAATATTTGAAGTAAAACTCATCTTAAAGAGCACAAAATGGCTTCAACTGTAATTTTTACAGAAACTGATTTTAAATTTGGTGTTGCAGCAGCTGAGGGTTATTCACAACACATTTTAAGCACAATCAGATTCATAAAATTAAAACACATGAACTCCTACAGGGACGTGCACAGATAGACGTCAGGTGGTGCTTGAGCACCTGCCCTTTTCCCTCCAGACCACCAAGTGCCCCTGTCGAACCCGCCTTTTTAAATTTTTTTATTTTATTTTTTTGTTATGCTCCATCTGTCGCCCTTGGTTGCACTTCTTATTAAGTGTATACAACTATGAT